AATTTTAAATGAAAATAAAAAGGAGATTTCAATTATCATCAGAATCAAAGTGCTGAAGTCATCACTAGCTATTTTGGGGACTGCTACACTAAACTGTGATCTTCAAGAAAATCTCTCTTACGAAATGTTGCATTTCATACGTAACTGGTTTTGATGCCAACCAAGTTTTCCAACACAAAGCTGTACATGGTTCTCCTACAGATTAAGGCCTTTATAAAAGCAGCCCATTCAGACTGGCTTAAAATATAAAAGAATCCTATAACGAATGTTTCTCAATTATGGGCACATTGTAAAATACATTCTCATTAATCTCAGATATTCAACATTTACTATTTTGCCTTTTCCAATATTCTGTGAACAAGTAATTTTGTACTCAAAGCTTTCACTATCATAACCATGCTTCATGCCCCTCCTGTTCATTTGCAATGTTAGACAAACTTCAACAAAAAAGCAAAATTTCTTCAGATCATTTTCTTAGAAGAGGACTCTTGTAGTTTAAGCCCAGCTGGAATTAAACACCACACAGCCACTCGCCTAATGCCCCCTTTCTGCCTCCCACCCCGGTGGAATGGGGAGGAGAATTAAAGTAAAACTTGTATGTTAAGAACAGTTTAATAATTGCAAATACAGTAAAATACAGTAATAATGGTAAATGATAAAAATAATGATAATGAAAAGGGAAAAACAAGTGATGTACAATGCAATTCCTCACCACCTGTTGACCGATGTCAGATCCCCCTTTCCAAACCCAAATGTTGCCTTCCAGGCAACTCCCCCAAGTTCATACACTGTACATGACATTCTGTGGTGTGGAAAATCCCTTTGGTCAGGTTGGGTCACCTGTCCCAGCCTTGCTTCCTCCCAGTTTCTTTTGTGTACCTCCTCACTGGCAGAACATGAGACAAGAAAAGAGTCCTTGACTTAGGATAAACACAACTTAACAAAAAACCAAAACATCAGTGTGTTACAACACTACTCTCAATCCAAATCCAAAACACAGCACTGCAACAACTACTGGGAAGAAATTAACTCTACCCTAGCTGAAACCAGGACAGAACCTATAAAGGTTAGTTAGTTAAACCAGCTGGGAACACTCACCAAGTTTCATTAGTGAGAACTGCTCTAAGATTTTATTCCTAGCAACTTGGGGTTTGTCTCAGTTCCATTTGAGAATTGATACTCAGGATGTGAACACTTGAGGATGGCACCTTTCTTGTAATCAAACAGCCTACAGCTTAGCCAAGGACCGCATCTTTGGGACCCTCAGAGCAGCACGATGATTTGTTTCTCTGCCAGCTGTCAGTTTTTGAAAATCCTGCTGTGCTGGGTACAAACAGCAAGGTGCTGGCAGTAGAGGAGCTGCGGGAATGGCTCCTGTGGCAAAAGGCCAGGGGTTGCCCTGTCCCACCCCCAGCTGGCTCCAACAGAACCACAGCAAAACACAGCTGAGCCCCTCAGCAAAGCTAACAGCACCTCTGGAAAGTGTATTTAAGAAAAGGCACAAAATGCCACAAAACAGAACAAAAGGAGTGAAAAAACAACAAAAGGACCACCACCAAGGTCAGAGGAGGAGGAGGAAGTGCTCTATGGTGCCAGAGGAGGAACCCAAGGGAGGTGCCAGGGAGGACTCAAGCCAGAGCAGGCGGATATACCCTGAAGGAACCGTGGCACATGGACAGCCTGTGCCAAAGCAGATTTTTCTTGCTGAAGGACTGCTGTCAGTGGGGAGCCCATGCCAGAGCAGAGGAAAAACATGAGAAGGAAGGAGCAGTAGAAAGAAGCCACCTCACAGCAACCGTAACCCCTCTGTCCCCTGCACCATGTGGGGAGGTACAGGAGTCTGGAGCACAGGAGTGAAGTTCAGGCTGGGAAAGGGGGGAGGAAAAGTGTTAGTTTCATGTCTATCTCCCTCTTTCTTAGTATCTGTCTCTATTTTAAATGGCAGCAAATTAAATTCATTTACCCCAAGTCAAGCCTGTTTTGCCCAGAACAGTAATTAGTAAGTGGTCTCCCTGTCTTTATTTGAAGCTACAAATCTTACCCTATTTTCCGTCCCTGCCCCACTAAGGAAGCAGAGACAGCAGCTGGGTGGGTATGTGCTGTTAGCCAAGGCTAACTCACCACCCAGCACGTAACAGTTTTGACCCAGTCTTTAACAGGAATGCTGATGAAGCAAGAGCTCAAACCGAGATTTGTGTTACATGGCATGAATCTCATTACTGCTGCTGAGTCCTGGTTCTGCAGTAGAGAAATATAATCCAAACTGGCTAAGTGCCTAACCAATCTGAGTTGGGTTAAAAGACCCTTCTTTCATCTATCTATCTATCTATCTATCTATCTATCTATCCATCCTTTGTGAAAAGCAATGCAAGTCACAGGTTTGACAGAGGACACTCATTTCCTATGATCCAAATTGTTACTACTACAGAATAGCAAAGGCAGTGAGTAATATCTCTCTTCTCTCTTGATCTTAGAGCTCAGCAAGCTCTCAAAGCCTTTCAAATGCAATCCATTCCAGAAATTTGGTCCAGTGTCATTTTTGTGCATCCAAGATCCTATAGAAACTGTCATTTAGATTTGATCCACTGCCAGGTTTTACACAGACTCCTGCTTCTATGAAGGAGTACATAGGATCCATCAGTCAGAACTAATCAGAACAAACAATACAAAAACCAAGTCCACTCAAAATACTGCACCTCTCAAGTGCTACATTTCTTCAGAAGTAAATACTGTTGTGTTATGCATCCACACAGACCTTCATCCTGGGAGCTTCACTGCTATTTCGTCCTTCATCTAATTTGGGTTGCGAGCTTCAAGGAATGGGAAGTTGCTAAGAGGAGATTCTGTTTCAATGCAAGACAGCTCAAACAATAATCCATACCATTAAAATTTCCATCAAGTGCTCTAATCCCCAATTACAAACAGGAGGTGTAATTAAGTCCTGGTAAAGTAACAATCTATTCTTTTGCAATAGTGCAAGACTGAAGAAATTACAAGAGGGCTTCCCCAAAGGATTCCTTCCCATGTGTGTTCCAAGAGCAATAAATGCTATTCCCAGCAATCTTGATATCCTCAGTTAAAATGCTCCAGCATTGAAGAGTTGGAGACAATTCCCTACACAGCAGTATATGGACAGAATGAAGATCTCCATGCTTTTCTCCACCCTATCCCCCAAGCTTTTAAATAATCCCTATGACGTATTGTTACACATTCAGTCAAAACAGAGATCTTTCGTTACCCATTCCCAAGTCAATTTGTAAAACTGAACATTACTGCAGAAGAATAGAGTAACATTTGGAGTACCTTTTCTTCAGCTGATTGCTTCAAATGTACTAAAAACAGTGATAGCAGCAGAGTGCCTTTCAGTTCATATCCCTCTTCATGGATGGAACAGAGGCATTGCCTCCCCTTTGTAATCTTACCAGCTGATAACCTTGACCTGCAACCCGTTAGGTACACCAGGATTTAGAACACAAACTTCCAGTTTTAGACACTGTCAACAACAGGTGAAGATATTTCACTAAATAAGTTACTCTGTTCCTGTGTTACTCCACTAAGAAGGAAGAGTCCAGTGCAAATCACTTCACTTACTGGCTGTTGATGTTCTCAGTTACCTAGACTTGGAAGCCATGACATTGATTTAATCATTCCTGTGCTGTCAAAAAGATAAAATCTACATATGATACTTTCCCATATTTTAAATATCAGGGAATGCTTCAATAATTTGTATTTTGACTGGTACAGAATCTAGAAGATGCCTTAACAGGAAAATCACTGAAGTGTAAAGTTATGCAGATTGCATAATCCTCTCTGATATGCTTCACTGGGGTAAAAAGTATGCAGGTTGGAGAAATTTAAGTCAAATTGTCAATAACATCTCCTGCCTAGCTCTCCCTACCTGTCTGAAATACCTTAGCACATCTTAAAACTATGAAGATCATACTTCCCAACTAAACAGCCAAATCACATTTGCCTTTGCTTGAAGTGATCTCTAACTAGTTCATGGTCTATCACTCAATGATGCATGTCCTGAAACTAAATATAATACCTTCCACCTCTTCACTCATGTTTATTTTTAGTAACATGCCAACGCATGAAAAGTTATCTACTACCCATCCATTCATTCTTAAGTTCTCTCTCTTCTGTGAGTCATGTTTTTCCTCTTTCATTTGTATTTCTATACATCTGAACGATGCAGTTTTCTTCCCTATCTAAACGTGCAAAGCTATCACAGCCTTCACAACAAACTCCCACTGATGTCAACCTTATGCCTCGTCCTCTCTCTGTTAACTTAGCACCTCTGAATTCACCCCAAGTTCTGTCTTTGCAGACTTGACTGCTCTCTGAAAATACCTCCAGGTCCGCCTCAAGTCCATGAGTGAGCCCATAGAGGTTGACACTATCCTCACACACAGACTGAAGGCATCCACGGCAAAGAAAACTTCCCTTGCTCATTAGGCACTATCCTTTAGATAAACATTTTGAATCTTGTGACACAATAAGTAAGACACCAAACAAGCTATTCATATTATTTATAAGAAAATAAATGGAGCTGCACTACATTGCTGAGGCATGCTTTTAAGAGAAAGGACGGAAGCCTTCCTAAGACACGCTGTGCACAGATCCCCCGGCAGCGCACAGAAGGACATTGAGGGCTTTATGCACACTGTCAGCATGTGTGCCTGCAGAGCTGCAGCGCTCGTGACCAGCGCCGGGCTGCTCAGCACTTGGGGCCCCGGCCGCTCCAGGGCCGCGCTGCCGCCCTGCACCCCGGCGGGGCGGGACCCCGACCCCGGCCCCGGTCCCGCGGGGCTCAGCGCGGTGCCCTCGGGCCGGGCCGGGCCTGGGCGGCTCCCGCCTCCCACCGCCCCCCGCGCCGCTGCCGCCCGGCCGGGCCACCCTCCCGCCGCCGGACCCGCCGAGCCCCGGGCCCCGCAGGCCCTTCTGGCCGCCCGCCCGGCTGCACCTGCCGGGCCCCGCCGCCCCCGCCCGCGCCGCACCGTTCGCGATGAGCTTGGCCGAGAGCTGCTTGACGAGCTCGGGGATCCGCTCCCACTGGCACTCCGAGCGGCACCGCTCGATCTCCGTCTCCAGCCGCGAGCCCGCCTTCCTGGTGGCCATGGCCGGGCCGCGGGGCCGGGGCCGGGCCGTGGCCGTGGCGGGCGGGGGAGGCAGGACGGGCGGCGGCGGCCCCGGAGCGGCGGAACTCAGCGCTGCGGCCGCGCCGCGCCGGCGGCACCGCGACCGCCCAGCCGCGCCCCCTGCCGGCCGCGCGGGCGGGGCGGGGCCAGCGGCGGGGGCGGCCGGGCCGGGCCGGGCCGGGCCTGGCGGGACCGGCGGCTCCCGATGGTCCCGGCGGTCCCGCTGCTCCCAGACCCGCCGCCGCGTCCCACCACCGCTCCCGGGGCTGCGGGAGCGACAGGGAGGGAGGGAGAGGATGAGTCTGCCCAGCGCGACCGCCTGTGGGAGCGGAGCCGGTACCGCCAGCAGGAACGGCTCCTTCAGAACCCACTTACACATGGGTGGGAATGGCACGTTCAGCTGATTTCACCCTTCCACGGGCGAACGATGACCACAGGCCGCCTCCCCCCTCTGATTTACTTTCCCCTTCCACAAAATGCAGTGGAAAACTGGTTCCTGCCCGGCTCTGGTCGCCTCTTCACCTGCCTTGGCACCGCTCACCGCACTTCGCTCGGGGCTTTGAATCCATTGCACGGCGTTCTCCCCTCGCTCTCTCCACGTTCGCACCTCACAGCACACCCTCTGCAGTCCCAGCAGCCGACAGCCCCTCGCACACCGTGTCCCACCCCACGGCACGGCCCAGCGGGGACACCGGCGCAGGTCTCCCCTGCGCCTCAGCCAAGGGGACAGCCAAAGGTCCGCGCTGTACGCAGATCGTGCCCTACGTCTGGAGAAAATAAACGCATTTCCAGCATTTGGGAGGAATAAAAATACTATCTGAAACAATTCCAATGGTACCGTGTATCTTTATCAAATGCTACCTTGCACATACGTGACACACCAGTTCCACAAACTCATACGCACCTTGGAAAACTGATGCCAAGACTGATTTTCACTGAAAAAGTAGCAAAAAGACCGAGACTGCATTAAAAAAACCCCCTCAGATATTATTCACAGAATAAGGATTTTTTCACAAAATAAGGATACAGCCCACTGACAGAAAGGTGTATTTAGACAAAACATAAATTCAAATAATTCAAATCTCTTGCTCCACATCCTTGGGTCACAGTGCAGACTTTTACTTCTTTTCCTCTACAGAAATGAGAAAACAGTGAAGCCAACAGGAATTTAGTTGAATTTGTGACAATGACTGTCAGAGATGATGATGATCGTTTAGAGTTCTGAAGATTCAAAAAACAGGCTGGATGCTATTTTTGCTCTTACATGCACTGTACTCCTCTGGATCTAACATGTTAGTCTTCAGATGTATGAAGTTCACAAACTCAGAATCAAATTTGGGCAAATGCAACATTACCAGCCTGAGACGGGTCAATCATTGTTTCATAGCTGCTAAAAGTAACATATTCTTATTCCCCAAACCCTGTGAATCTTCAAACTCCTGTGGATCAATGCTATCACGAGTCACTTTTATGTGCTGTTCTGTAAATAGATCAGTTAAAAGTAAACATGACACTGCCTATGGGCATTGGTAGAGTCATTGTTCACAACAGAATTTTTAAACAATTTTCTAATTCGGGTGTGTGTGTCACATGCACTAGGGACAGGTGCTTTCTGAAGTTTTGCTTGGTTTTGATCATCCACTGAAACATCAGGAACAGGATGCATCTTTTTAAAGATCAACAATTTCCATCGAATCACTAACTGACCAAGAATGGACCCAGGCTTGTACAACCAAAAGCTTGTTAGTGTCATCCCCAGCTGTATCCTCAATGTAATAAAAATCCACTTCCTACAGATCTTGTTCTGCTTCTATCATCCTTAGACCATCACAGCTATTGCAACTCTATGACAGTTATCAGGTGTCTTTTTCAGTGTTTCAACTAATTAACTTTTCATTCCCAGTTCTAGTGAAAGCATAATAGCACAAAATCCAGATACTGTAAATTGCCTTTTGTCAAGTTGCTATTATAGAACTTTCAGGTTACAGTCCCATTTCAAACAAAAAATTTTTCAGATTTTAAAAGTGAAATAGAAATGGTAGCAGAACATTACCGTGTTTAAAAATAGAATGGAGTACTGCAGGACTGGAAAGAGGATTTAGTAATGTAACAAAAGCAAAGGGAGAAATGTAAAAGCATTTTTTGCTTACCTGAAGTTTCAGAAGACCTAGAGAACATTAAACTGATTATAACATGGATTACTGGAGAGATAAGACAATTACGTTAAAAATGAGGCAGGAGAAGAATGGTAATTCAAAATGTTTGATATTGTAACTACTAGTTCTTTTACACATACAACTATGAAAACAAAAATTTCAACTTTTGAAAAGAGCTAATTTGCTTATGAAGATTATTCATGTTTATCCACAACAATTTTAACACATTTTGTTAGCGCTGATCACATCATTTCAATAAGAGCTACCAGCAAAAGAATAGTATTAAAATATTTACATAACAGTTCATCAGGCTTATTATCTCAACAGCTACTATTTATGAAGTGAGACATCTATGCAAAAGGAATTCATACATTTTGAAATTCATTGGAACACTTAGAAAATCTGCTTTAACATTAATGAACTTCCATATACCTAAAACTGCTCTGAGAGGATTTTGTTATTGATGACCCCTAATGGAATACAATAATGGATCTGGAATGAATAGTATAAAAGTCATAGAGAAAAGAAGTAGGATTCCACATATTTTGTCAATTGTCCCTTATTTTTTCAACTTTAAACAAAGTGTTGTTTTCTGGAAATGGCCTATTTATCAAATTGTTGGGGCAGCCTGAGGCATACATGTACTTTGCTAGAAACAGTCCGCAGTAGGTGAGGCAGTTGGCTGACAAATATAGAGAGATAAAGGGCAGCAAGAGAAATAATGGATTGTTCAGTGCAATTTCATGAGCTTCCTATGAGGAAACAGGAACTTTCAGTACATGGCTCCACACTGTGGTGGTTTGACCTTGGCTGCATGCCAGAAACCCACCAAAGCCACTCTATCACTCCCCTCTGCAAGTGGACAGGGGAGAGAACATATAATGAGAGGTTCATGAGTACAGGGAGAGATCACTCACTCTTACTGTCACGGGCAAACTAGACTCAACTTGGGGATACTCAATTTATTACCAGTCAAAATCAGAGCATGATAATGAGAAATAAAACAAATCTTAACCCCCCCCCCCGTCTTTCTTCCATCTCTTCCTCCTTCCCAGGTTCTACTTCCTCCCCACCAGAGATGCAGGGAGAAAGGGAATGGGAGTTGCAGTCATTTCATCACAGGTTGTTTCTGCCATTGCTCAGAGAGAGGAGTTCTTCTCCTGCTCCAGCATGGGGCCCTCCCACCGAAGACAGTTCTCCATGAACTTCTCCAGGGCAACTCCTTCCCATGGGCTGCAGCTCTTCATAAACTGCTCCAGAGTGGGTCCCTTCCACGGGATGCAGTCCTTCAGGCACAGCCTGCTCCAGCGTGGGTCCCCCCCAGAGTCATAAATCCTGCCAACAAGCCTGCTCTAACATGGGCTCATCTCTCTCCATGTGTCCACAGGTCCCTGCCAGGAGCCTGTTCCCACAGGTTCACAGCCCTCGTTCGGGAATCCACCTGCTCCGGCATGTGGCTCCTCCACAGGCTGCAGGTGGATCTCTGCAACCCCACTGACCTCCATGGGCTGCAGGGGCACAGCTGCCTCACCTCGCTCTGCACCTGGGGCTGCAGGGAAATCTCAGCTGCTGCACCTGTAGCACCTCCTCCCCCTCCTTCTGCACTGACCTTGGTGTCTGCAGAGCTGTTCCTCTCACATATTCTCACTCCTCTCTTCCCTGAGCACAACTACGTCTGTGCAGTAACTTTTTCTTTTCTTCTTAGGCATGTTATCACAGAGCTGTTACTACCATCTCTGGTGGGCTTGGCTTGGCCAGCAGCAGGTCCACCCTGGAGCCAACTGGCATTGGCTCTGCTGGACAGGGAGGAAGCTTCTGGCAGCTTCTCACAGCAGCCACCCCTGTAGTACCTCCACACACACTACCAAAACCTGGCCATGCAAACCCAGTACACACCCTGATATGGTCCTCATACTCATACTGCTCGTAACCTGGAAATAAACCTGATAAAGCAGCTTTCTGCACCAGTAACTCCACACAGAACTATGAGAAACAGACGTGATGGGGGTTTAAACTGATGAAAATGTTAAAGTGAACATAAACTGACTTAAATAAATTAGCATTTTAATCTCTACTAAGATCTTAAACACTCTATAACAAGGAATCAGAAAAATCAATTCAAAGAGTACTTGCATTTTTAAAGGTAACATATTCCACTGAATATACAATGCTCAAAACCCAGATGAGGGAAAAAAACCCACAACAAACCAAACCTGCAAGCAAACTTACTGGGTTTTATTCTAGACTGAGTTCAGTGTCCAGAATAGTATTCTGGATTTTAAAAACTAATACTTATGTATTTTTGGAAAGATACCACCTTTTTGCCTTTAAGTAGGCCTCTACTTTTCAACACAGAAAGTAAGCCAAGTATCATTTTAAAATATTTCTTAAGGGTAAAAATACGATACCTATTACATGTTAGGAAATGAGAAAACTAGATCATAGTAAACATGTACCTTTGTAAATCTGAACAGTTTCTTTATCTAGCAAAGCAATAGTGGCAGCTCTACTCTCTGTAGAACAATTGTTTGATTTCCTTACATTACTGGCTAAAATCACACTTAGAGCAGTTCCTGTCTACACAGAAATCAACAATTGTTTCAAACTGCACTTCTGTGACCACTTAAAAGATGAAGTGTTTCCCACATTGAAGTTACTGAGTGCAGCAGAGTTACATCTCTTCTTCAGTTCCAGAGATCAAACCCTTTAAATAAATTTAAATAGAATGAAAATTTTGAATTTTGAATTTTTCTTCTTTTTTTCCCCCAATGTTCCTTGCTACTCATTAGTAATAAAAATATTTGCATTTATTAATAAACACCAGTATTTTCTCCACTGCTGTTTAAATATCCGAGACAAACA